CACTGCTCAAGCTTCAAGGACACAACTGTAGTGATGCAATTACCATTTACACATGCACAGTTTCTACCAACGTGCAGTGTGGACATGTGGAAATAATGGTGTGTCCATGTTGTAAAACATGAAGAGCGTCCTTCCTCCGCACATCTCTTAGCACGCGGCGATGGGGAGCCGTCTGCATTTCGCCTGTTTTCATCATGAACCCTACCCCTCAATGCAGCCAACACACCACTACCCATGCCGCCCAGGGTTCGCAGATCTGAGCTATGGATGCAATAAAACCTTGGGACTAACAGGTCATCTTTAAAATATGCACATGAAGGCCTGTCTCAAAGTGATCCCGAGTTTCTGGTCCATTTCTCTTCACCCCGTTGTCCACGGAGGCCTCCCTGAATTTTAAGAAGCAAAGGAGAGGAGCATGTGACCCACTGGGCCCGGGACTCTCCCGTAGTAGAGACTAACTAGGTGGTGTGGACAGCGTTTTAAAATGAGTCTGTTCATGTGGGAACTCAAGAACTGAGTCTGTCATGTAGCACAAGAGGGTAAAGCATGGTGTTTTGAGAAATTCTAGATGGTGTGTCCTTCACTGCTTTGATCTGTCTCAGGTATCTACTGCTGCTAGGACAGAGATACCTCAGATGGATGGTTTTAGCAAACAAATGTGCCCTGTCAGCTTATTGTTAGGTCCACTGTGTTGACTGCTGCTCTCAGCAAGTGTTGCCCAGTGCGGGGCCATCCACACACACTCCCCCAATCTCAGGCCCGTGGCTGCAGCCACTGTACCAGCCCCTCTCACTGTGGGTCTTCCTCTCCTTCATTGACCTGCTACTTTTACAAGCACGATGTCCAAGGTCTGCGAGACCAAGCTTCACCATCCCTCCTTCTAAGGAAAAGCCTGGTTGCCCTTTGGCCAAGAGTGATTGATTTGTCTGATCTCTTGGCAGTCCAAGGGACGTTCGCCTTAGCCAACACAATTCACAAGCACCCTCTTTCCACCTTCCTTTTCATGGTCTTGTCTTCCACGTGCACGTGAAGCACCTGCAAAGCTCTGGTCGCTGCTGGCCCACAGGCTGTGTTTCCCTGGCAGCTCCAGTCCACCGGCGGCTCTGGGGGAGAAGATGCGCCATCTCCTCCCGTGCGGTTTACAGCCTCTCACACTCAGTGACTGCTCGGCGAGGCGTTGTTCCCAACTCAGTGGCAAAGACAGAGTGATGACTCGGGTTGGACGCACCACAGTCTTTAAACTGACATCCGTGCTCTTTAGCACTTTAAGGACATCTTTGCTCGCACTTTGCCCCGTGAGCCACATCTTTTGATTTCTGGACTACAGGTGCCATGGTTTTGATTGTGGATCCAAAGAAAAAGGAAATCCTTGGCAACTTCAATCCTTCCTCCATCTAGCCCAACGTTGGTCTTGATTTTTTCTTAATGTCGAGGTGTAACTCATCTTGAAGGTTGAAGTCTGATCTTTTTCAGTAAGTGCTTCACGGTTGTACCTTCCACAGTGGGTAGCTGCGGAGTCTTCCTCAATCCTCATGTCATATTCTTTTTCATATAATTCAGCTTTTCAAATGATTTTAGCATACAGGATATGGAGAAAGAATAAAGCCCTGCTGCCCACCTTTCCCGAGAGGAAACCACTGCTCCTCGTTCTGTTAAGGTCACTGCTGCTTGGTCCCTGTTCAGGTTTCTCAAGAGCGTAACTCAGTGTTGTACGATTCACACTCTCCTCAATGTCATCCACAACTGCTTATGATTCACACAGTCAGATGCCTTTGCCCCAGGTAAACCTCTTTTTGGTCTTTGTGATGAGTATCATTGTACAGAATTGTATCTCGGGGTCCGTGACTTCATTTCTGTTGTCACACCCTATTTTCCAACTACCAACCCTTTTTCATCGTTGCCAACTTTGGCAGTCAAGTCACCAATTATCAGTAATGCAACTTGACCACTCTGCTTGACCAGTGTTAGAGAAATGTTGCTGTGAGTCCTATTTGGCTTGATGACACTTAACCACTGCTAAGTGAGACTAGTGTTGTTAGAATTTGGAAGAACATTCTTCTACTTTGCACATCACTCTGTCAATTTGCTGTACTGAGATAATCTGGGTTTGCTGTGCTGCTGAACCTTGTGCTACTGGGATGTCAAATGCCATAATGGTTTTCCAATGTGGACAGTGTTTGGTGGAGCTCCCAGTCATAACACAGGTTGGGAAGCAGGAGTGGCATCCACTTCCTAAACCACATGCCTCTGAACACTCTATGAACTTAGAGAAATGACCACAGCTATAGAAAGACATTAGGTCTTTTGTTCATGGAGTCGCTGTGAGTCGTACTCGACTCGACAGCAATCAACAGCCACCACCAGTTATCTCGATTATGCCCAGGATGTGGATCTTCACGTGTTCCATCTCACTTTTGATAACTTGGAATTTTCGTAGGTTCATACTTCATACACTCCGTGTAGCAATTATTAATGGCTGTTTACCGTCATAGTCTCCCCACATCGTTGAATAAAGGACCTTCACTGAGTGAAACCTTTAGTGGTTAGGAGTTGTGCTGCCAGCCCAAGGGCAGTGTGAATGCACCGCTGCTCTGCAGGAGAAAGGGGGGGCTGTCTCCTCCCATGTGGCACGTGGCCCCTGGAAGTCTGCTGGAGGGTCAGCTGTGCGTTGGTTCCAACTTTCTGGTACACAACAACCACAACTACTATCACCTTGAGGAAGGCAGCTCTTCCCAGTTGCTTCCCGAGGGGTTCCTCTCTGGGCACCCCCCCCAGCAGTGTTCCAGTGCTGTCCGTAGGATTCTTGAGGGCATGCTATTTCAGAAGTGGAGGGACAGTCCTGCCCAGCTTACTCTGGAAGCTCCACTGAAACCTGTCTACCATGGGTTCCCTGCTGGTCTAAGTACTGGTGCAGAGTTTCCAGCATCAGAGCAGTACGGTCCCCAAGGATGGTGGACTGACACGGGGCGAGGTCTTTGTGTTAAACCAGGTTAGGCTTGACGCCCCTTGAGGTTTTGAGGCAACTCATTCCCTAAAGATGTTTCTCATTAACAAGTTCACAAGCTTTGACTCGTTGTTGTTGGTGTTCTGTACTTTCAAGTTGGATCCAACCCTTAACAGACTCTCCAGTTAAGTTTTCAGAGGCAGTTAACTGCATGGGAGTAGCTTATGCATCTTTCTTCCACAGAGCAGCTGGTGGCTTTGAACTGTGGACCTTTGTGCTGGCAGCATGATTCCTTACCACTGAGCCACCAGAGCTCTCCTTTGGGCTCCGTCACATACATGGATGTACTTACAGCGCACACAAGTAAACATGCAGATCTGTCAGTGAACCTGTGTGAGGCAATGGTGGTGTCCCGCTGACCTGTCCATACCTCTGTCTTGCTTTCTAAGTGGTGGGATTTTAGAAGATGCCCAAGCCTTGCTTCTGAGGCATCTGTGGGTGGACTTGAACCCAGATCTGTCAGAGTGTACTGTGCCCCTCAGGGTCTCCTCGAGGACTGGCCCGGTAGGGGTGAGGCGAGGAGCTCTGAGTGAGCTGCAGGCCCTGGTGGCCACAGTGTGAGATGCGGGCAGTGGGGTTAGCAAGGGTTACCTGTGTCTTCTGTCCCTCAGTGCTTTTCTGGAGCATCTGCTGGTGAGTTTCCAGGGGGTGGGCACAACATGGAAATGTGACCCCTTCCTCATGTGGTGAGGACATTCCATGTCTGAGTGTCCTCAACCGTCAGGACCAAATGACCCTCGTAGGCTCAGCGGCAGGAAGGCGCCGAGATACCCTTCTCTGTGTTCCAGGCCCTGCTGGGCTTGGAGGTCTCCCACAGGGCTGGGGTGGGTGGACTCACCCAGAGCCCCACCCATCACCTCCTCACCCTACATAAAGCCCAGTTGTCCACACCACATCCTGTGCCCAGAGCTTGGGCCCTCCTCCCTTCCCATCCTACATGGAGCCCTGAGATCCTGACCTCACATCTGAGTGTACCCGTTTATAGATGAGGACATGGCCTGAAGTTTCTTGTCCTGCTGCTATATGGGACGCAGGGAGAGGGAGGACAAGGAGCAGGACTGCTGCGTCAGCCTCGGGGCAGACTGTGTCCCAGACTTGGGGACCTCTGTCCTGAAGGAGAACGGGGCTCCTGAAGAACTGACCACAGGCTGGCATGAGGACACAGATGGTCTTTATTTGACAGATTTCACTCCTTAGAAAGTCTTTCCAGAAGCCCCACTCCTCCAACTGCCCCCAGGTGGGTCCCTACTGCAGAGTGGAGGGGTCTTTAGTCAGGGTGGGAACACAGAGGCTCATTTCCACAGAAACGTGGGTGTGTCCAGCCCACCGGGGCTCCACCTATGGAACCCTGAGTAGAAGGGAAGCCAGGTGCCAGGGGGGTCAGGCAGAGTCTGGTTCCACCTTGACCCCACCCCCAGGCTGTGAACCATGGCCCCAAGCCTGAAGGTGGCTGAAGCACTTTCACCTGCACATGTCTCCCTGCCTGCGGCTCCCCAGGATGGCGGGCAGCTGTGTCACTGCTCTGACCCCGAGTCACCTGTCACCTGTGGGAGCAGGATGCCTGTGCCAGGAGGGGCTTGTTGGACTACAGCCTTCCTGCCATCTGTCCCCACCTGGGTCCAGGGCATTGCTCTGCCTGAGTCACAGGCAGAGGCCGATTAGTCCCGGAGGACTTCGTGGTGGAAGCAGACATCTGTGGCACACAGGGACCCAGTGTGAAGGACCCTCACTCAGAAGTAGCTCTTGCTGCCTGTTTAGGGGTACAGGGAAGATGTTGGGCTGGGGGCCAGAGGGGCCTCAGCTTCAGAGTTAAAGCCACTGTGGGGACGGAAAGAGGACTGACTCCAGAGAGTGAGCCAGGCACGTTTCCCGTGGAAGGAGTGGAGCTCGGTCAGCGTGAAAGTCGCCTGTCCCTGCACCGCCCCGCACCACGTCTGGGGTCCCTGCTCACGGGCGCAGGCCCAGGCTCTGAGGTAGGACGATCCCGGGGGACAGGCTAGTGTTTGATGCCCATGGTCCAGAGGAGCGGCCGGTCCGTGTCCACAGTCACCACGCCAGACCCGTCGTAGGTGTTGGAGGTGCTGACCAGGGTTCCAAAACCAAGCGGGTCATTTGCTGGAAAACAAGACAGATAGTCAGTGAAACCGAGCTCACGCTGGGAGGTGGGTGGCCAGCATTCCTGAAGGGGAGGGGTCCAGCAGGCATGGCCCATGAGGTGTGGTGGGATTGGGCGTCCCAGGACTGGCCATGTCCTCTGTCACTGTTCACACAGGACAGCTCGCGTCTCCTGGAGAGACCCCACTCCACCGCAGGGCCCCAGGGGTCTGCATGTGACTGTGCCCCGTGGGTACAGTCACGCCTGGTGAGCAGTATTCCTGCACATTCCTGACTTCAAGCATCCGTCCCACACAGCTTTTGCCCATGCAGCCTCTGTCACACCCATCACGGAGTTGGATCTGCCACGTAGCGGCCCTCTGCCAGGTTTCTGGGCCCCTCACCTCTCTTCTGAGGACCATCTGTGAATTCAAAGCAGCAGCCCAGCAGGGTCACCCCTGTACCACTAGGACTTCCCGGGGATCACACATAGTATTAAACATCTGTGAACTGAAAAACTATCCAAAACAGGACATAACAGGTGAGTTAAAGAAGAAATCTGGCTCTGCAGAAGATAGAACTCTGCATTAGTGTTGGTTTCCAGTTACCAGTCAGGTAACTAGTCGCCGGCAACCAGGTAAAGAGCAGTGTCTCCTCTAGTCATTAGTTATGAGCCCCCGTGGTTGGTAGGTGCCGCCAAGGGGACAGCATCTGGGACACTGCACAGCGGGTGAGACCCCAGTGCCGCCCTCACCCCACCACGCTCACACCCACTGCTGGAGTCACGGCGGTCCGACATGTCCAGGGTCAGCGCTCACGCCCACTGCTGGAGTCACGACAGTCCATGTTGTCCAGGGTCAGCGCTCACGCCCACTGCTGGAGTCATGGCAGTCTGACATGTCCAGGGTCCATGCTCACATCCACTGTTGGAGTCACGGAGGTCCATCTTGTCCAGGGTCCACCTTGTTGAGGGTCTTCCTCTATTTTGCTGAGCCCTGTACATTTCTCAGCACGATGTCTTCTCCCAAGAACTGGTCCTTCCTGACACATAAGTATGGGAGGTGAAGTCCCGCCATCCCCCCCTCTCCAGAGCACCTGGTGCACCTTGTCCAAGCCTCCGTGTGCCTGTGGCCAGTAGCCCATGGGTTGGTCAACACTCTCCACCAACATATTTTTTGACCCATAACTAGAAATGGTCTTCAAGATCAGACTTCTAAAGATTTTGAAAAAGATTACTGCAGTACTCCATGGTCATTTGAGTTGGAAGAGACAGTTACACAGATGGGAAAGTATGTGGAACATGTTGGGTGGACCTGAGGACAGGAGAAGGGCTGTGCAGACAGCTGGTGCCGGGAGGATGAGCATGCCAGGACGTCCATCCCTGACTTGAGGTGACACGAGGAAGCTGAGGGACACTGCCAGGCCATGCAGGATTCACCAGCCTGCTCAGAAAATTCCCAGAGGGCGGTACTCCCTGCCCCCAAACATGGCACTCAGGCAAAGGCAGGCCCTGGGAGATGCTGGAGTCGAGGGGAGTCCGGCCCTTGCCTTGGACCTCAGAAAGAAGGGGGGAGATGAAGACTTGGGTCAGCGGGCTTGGGAAAATGCTGCCGGCATTCACAGCCTGTTTGTAGGGCATGATGCCCACAGCCACACTGCAGCGCCTGGGAGGGATGCTGTGGTCTGCTCCTGCAAAATTCCAGCTTTACGCAGCATGCAGCCTAGACCCTACGAGGCGGCTGCACGCTGTCCCTACGCAGTGGCCCTCTGGTTTCCAGCATTCCCATGAGGAAGGGCTGATTAACCCATTTGGCCTGTAAAACGCCAGGCGGTAGATTCGGTCAAGCGCTGCCGAGGAGTCTGGGGGGCTGCGCTGGCAGTTCCGAGACCAGGACACACGGGGGGGGGGGCTGAGTCCAGCGGGGCCGCGGGTGCAACAGCGAGTCTCCTCCTCTGCTCCTGAGACTTGGAAACCTGCTGCAGGTCCGCGGTGAGCGGCTCTAACCTGACAACAGTGAGAACGGCCCTCACCTGGTCCAGGTCTGCTAACCCTGTTACTAACCCTGCAGGCTCCTTTCTGCAAGCGGAGTGCAACCAGGGCACCGCAGAGACAAGGACGGTGAGCCGCCACCTCATACTTGGAGCACGTTGTCAGGAAGGGTCTGTGCTTGGAAAAAAGACACTGTGCTGCTGCAGCCCTGAAGGCACGTGGTTCGAATCCACCAGCTGCTCTGCTGGAGGAGGAGGGGCAGCCTCCTCCTGTGCCAGTCGGATCCGATTCGATGGTAAACAACAAGGGGAAAAAAGACATCATGCTGGGGAAAGGGCAGCAAGAGAGGCCACCCCGTGACCAGATGGACTGGCGGGGACTACGGTGGGTGCGGGCACCAGAGGAGAAGAGGGTGCAGGACGGAGCAAGGCTGGGGTCCGGTGTGCGCAGGGTTGCTGGGACAGAGGAGCCGACTTGACAGCATGAAAAAGATCACCACCATCGTCCAGGTCAGAGCAGCTGGTTTATCCCAATGTCTCCAAGTCACACCAGGAGACCCTCGTTAGCCACCATAGACGCAGCTCACCCTCCTGCCACCTATTAGCTGGAAACACCGATGTTCTGGAAGATGAAATTGCAGTGGGTGTGGGGGCTTTGCCAAAAGACTGGAGCTGGGGTTCATTTCCCCGTCGACCCACGTCTTTCAGGAAACACCCCAGCTTTTACATCACATTTTAGAAGGGACTGTTGTGACTTGTTACTCAGAGGTGGTGAGGCTGTGGGTTAGACAGTGAATTCATAAATCTGCGTGCTTGTTCCTAAGATATTTCATCATGATCTATTTTCCTCTCCCTCCTGATACATGATGATAGTATTTCATGAGGACTAGCTAGCATCTTACAGAATGAACATGCTAATGAGTCTGAAATGTTGGCCATTTTTAACGAGCCGCGTCAGTTTCCGGTGAATGCATGTCCTTCCTCCTGGTTATGTCCGTGGGTCCTGCATTCACCCTTGTGCCCCCACTGGACGTGAGCTTTCTCCAATGTCTGCACGTTGTACCGTCTCCTCATCCCTGTGCAGCGGGGCGCCCCTGGCACCTCCTCCTACAGAGATGGCCAGCCGTGTGGACAGGCCATGGCTGCTCTAATTCCCTCGTCTGGGTCTTTAAACCCGCAGGGCCTCTTCTGGTGTCCAGACGACCGAGATCAGATGCTGGCGCTGGTTCCGACACAGGGAGGCCCCTGGGGTCAGAGGGGAACTTGCTCCATGGGTGTTCAGTGGTGGCTTCTCAAAGGAGAGTGCCAGGCCTTTCTTCCACGGCCCTTGGGGGACTCTGGCCCCTGCCCTTCCGTTAGCAGGGCCCTGGACCTGCCTGGGTACGAGTGCTTGGGAACCTCAGGCCACCTGTGCAGCAGGGGCGGCTCCTGTGAATGTCCCTCTGACCCACTGGGCCGCGACAAGAGGCCAGCTCTGCCCAGCTCTGCCCAGCTGTGCCTGGACTTGCTGCTGTCCGCAGACCAAGGCCTGAGGTGCACATCTGCGCTTAACCCGCCAGACATGCGGCGGTCACCTGAGGGAGAGGACAGTGATTCTGGGTGTCCTGTCACATCCTGGGAGCTAGGCCCTGGTGGCATGGCCCCTTCTGTTCACAGAAAACACCAGGCCTGTTGCAGGCCTCTGTGGAGCACCTGCCCTCGCTGTGGAACCAGCCACAACCAAGGCAGACCGAGTCCCCAGCTCACCACTGCAGATGGTAAAGCACGTGGCTGCCAGTCACAAGGTGGGAGGTTCGAGGCCAGAGCTACCCTGGAGGAACGGCCACGTGATCAACCTGTGAAAAGTCAGGCTTTGGGGACCCTGCGGGTGTGGGCTCTGCTCTGCTCTGGTGCATGTGCTCTATTTAAAATACCTGACTCAAGGACGGACTGACACACACAGTATAAACCTACACGCAAATGTCTGTGTTTCCACAAGAGCAGACTTCGCTGGTAGCTGATTCCGTGGGTCTCACACGCAGCTCGGGTGGCTCTGGTATAAAAGCACGTGGATGCCAATTGACAGGTGGACGTTCGACTGTCAGCGGCTCTGTAGGAGGCGAGTGTGGCACGGACACTCCCGGGGTCCTCCAGGGCCCCTCGGAGTTGGGACCCACCCCGTGGCTGTGGGGCTGGTTTTATCTGGGTCTTGGGATGTGCAATACCAGAATGGTGGGGTGTGTGAGGGGTCGTCAGTGCGGACATTCCTGGCTGCTGAGCCCTGGAGCTGACCCTCCGGCAGGTCTTCAGAGGCTTGACATCACGTGAGAGGAGAGTCCCTGTCTCTCTCCTGCAGAGCAGCTGGTGGATGCGAACCGTGTGCCTCCGAGTTGGCAACACAGCTCCTCATCCCTAGGCCACCGGAGATGCATGGTCAGCGGACACAGGTTGTAGACAGGTATGAAACCACATGTCTTTGACACGGGCACATCCTGGCTGGACTCTCGCTGCAACACTGTGGTTGGAAAGCACCGTTGTCTTCAGGGAAGTGTTCTCGGTGTTTTAGGGGACCAGGGGATTTGACAGCAGTCCTCTGACAGCCGCTAAGCACTCCACTTCCTGCCTTTGTGGGTTTGCCTTTCTCAGGTCTCGCTGAGTGTTTGGATGAGAAACTCCAGTGTGAGCAGACACAGGTCCCCTGGTTCCTGAGAGCTCGCCAAAGATGCCCCACGTCATATGAAGCTGGGGTGTGGCAAGCCTGGCAGAAAGGCTGGCTCTGGGGCACTGTGCCAGGTCCGAGGACCACACTCACACCTTCTGGCTGATTCCAACCGGAGGGACGCTGTAGGGCAAAGCAGGACTGCCCGGGGCTTCCAGAGCAGCACCTGTGATGGCAGCCGCCCACTTCCCTCTTCTCCAGAGGTGGGGCTGGTGGGATAAAACCCCTGACCTGCTGGTTGGCAGTTGAGTGCTTTAAGCATGACACCGTCAGAGTGTACGGGGCTGGTCTGGGGGCTCAGGGCCCGCCGAGCACCCTCCTGTCACCTGGATGC